TGGGTTTTGCTGGGGAAATGTGCTTCGGTGGGTGGGACAGGCCTTCTCGTCCGTCGGGGAAAGGCCGTGTTTTAGCCACGGGTTGTAAGGCCTTCTTCCTGTATTTTATTACTGTTTTACATCGATTCACCCGGCGCACGCTCATGCCCGGTAATTTGCAAGCGTATCGTTGTATAAGCTCTCGACAGCCTGTTTCCCGAGTAGAACAATTGGTCTTTTTTTGGCCAGATGGCCCTTTTTGTTGTTGCTGTTCTGTTGGCGTGGGGACGAGGGGCTGGACAGCCTGCTGGGCAAACCGGGCAGGGATGTTCCTGCAGCTTCCCGCCGGCAGGTGCGGTCAGGCACTGGAAACTCCTCTTCATCAAAGCAGTCGGGACCTAAGTCTTCCTTTCTGCTCCCACCATTTCTTCCGTGCCACCGTACGCTTGGGACCTGTCATTTAGCCGGTAGAATAAAAGGGTCCTGCAGCTAAGTTGTTCTATACATTGTGGGAGTCTGTTTTCAAGAGGCTGTGGATGGCGTTGCTTGGTCTTGATTGCAGCGCCTGATGTTTTGTTGCTTACAACTTTTTAGGCTTTTAAAGACACTGGCAAAGCACCCGTGGAACAAGAGGTAGCGATTCATCGCATTAGGATCACTTTGACAAGTCGCAATGTAAAATCACTTGAGAAGGGTAAGTGGTGCTTTTTTCAACTGGGATAGTCTTTAAGTGATGGACGATATATAATGTATTGCAAAATAGAATGTATTTAAATCAGTTGTAATTACAGATCTTAGTGTTTGCCTGTGTGTATATAACTTGGCTAACAAAGGTAACCCAAAGCATTTTTTACAGTGACAAGTAGGTTCTAATTTCATATTTAATGGAAGCGAGGGCTTGGGGTTTTACATCATGCTGAAGACTTTGTGTCATAATGAATTTAGTTCTCAGGGAGGAGGGAAGGGGCTGTGTGTGTTAGCTGTCACTGTTTGAATGTATGAGAACTGAAAGGCACCAGTTTCTTGATTGATTGATGTTTTGTCTCTTATTATGAAGAGTTTAGTGTAGAAGTTTAACGTTCTTTAAGAAATTGTGTACCTTGTTTGGGAACTGGCTTTGCTAGTGTTTTAATCATGTAACATAAATGATGTAGAATCGCTTTCTGATGCAGGATCTTCAGGAAAACAGCTTAAATGCTGCTTAAAACTTGTAGTAATGGCTTTTTCCCACTGTTGTAACTTGATTTTGCTAGCCATGGTGTAATGCTTCCATGTGTATGTGGTTGGCTATGAGGATAACCCTTACAATGAATGGCAATGATCACTTCATACGCTATTCTGAGCCAACTTCATGTATGAACTCTTGTTAAGGAAACAAGCAAAAACCCTTGCAAACCTGAGCTGTTTTGTTTGTGTGGTTTTTTTAGTCTGTGCTGACTTGATCAGAGGTGCTAAGGAAAAAAACCTGAAGGTGAAAGGACCTGTTCGCATGCCCACCAAGGTACTTAACACTCTTTTCCTGTCTGAAATGTTTGGGCTTTTTCTGCAAATATACACTTTAAACATCTTTCAGGAAAACAAAAGTGGAGGTGGAAAGCAGTAGTTTTAAATTGAGGGTGACTCGGTGTAAACAGATAATAACTTCACAAGTTGCTTTGACACTTGAGGCAACTGTTCAGTGCAAAATGTTAAACATGGAAGGAGCTTTTCTCTCCTTCAGTCTGTTTTAATAATGAATTTTAATTTAAATCGAGTATAGAGGAGTGTTAACATCACTAGACTGTAACTTACGTAACTTTCCAGTGACAGAGATACATATGGTGTTTTTAGGTGGATTTAATTGGAGATTGTCTTCTTTATGCATCAACTAAATACTCGGTGTTTTATGATTCATTTTTTTCCTCAGACTCTGCGAATCACAACCAGGAAGACGCCTTGTGGTGAAGGTTCCAAGACCTGGGATCGTTTCCAAATGCGTATCCATAAGCGGCTCATTGACTTACACAGCCCTTCTGAGATCGTGAAGCAAATCACTTCCATCAGCATCGAGCCTGGTGTGGAGGTTGAAGTTACTATTGCTGATGCCTAAATGATGGTCGTGGTTGAATAAAGTTGATTTACAAGTTTTCATCGTCATTTTGTTTTCATGTGTGTGCCAAGAGATTCATGTAGCCCTATGATGTTTTTTGTGAACAAGGGCAAAGGTCTTGTGTGAGAGGACCGTGTGATATTTAAGGAAGAACCTGCCAGTAGTAACCAGCAGGAAGATGGAACTTGGGCATCATAGTTTCAGTGGAGGTGGGTGACTATATGGATATGCAGCACTTAAATAATTAAACATATTTTCCATAAGAGATTTAACTTTGGCTGAAGTCTTGGTCTCTACCCAGACAAGCAGTAGCATTAAGATTGACATTTAGTTAAATTACCAAATTTTTTATTCTTAGTTTTGCTATGCAAAGCTGAACTAACAAACTAACACCTAGCTTATTTTGTGCTTGTTTGTTTGTTTTTTTCAGCTCCCTGTCCTCCCTTCCCCCCCAATGCTTTCCACAACCAAAGGATCTTAAGGATGTTAGTTACATCATAAATTTCATAATTTGTGGTGAACACACTGAATGTATCAAGTTCTTTCTTTGGTCTGGCACGTAGTCACAAAAGAAGATGCAGAGCTCTAGTTGTCTTTCCAGGTTTAGATTTTCATAGATTTGAAGTTCAGTTTCATATGTAAAGCAATACAGTAGCCTTTTCATTGTTGTTACTTCAGCCTCAACTTTGGTGGTGGGTTGCTTTTTCTTCTACAAATCAATACCTAAAGGAACTATGATTAATTCTTAAACCTACAGCATAAAGACCTGAGTTAAATAAAATAACACTTTAATTTTGTCCATTTTAGATCAGGTTGCTGGTCCTTCAAGCATAGGAGAGAACTGGAATTATAATTAAACATAAAGCAGAAGCGAGGAAATGTAGTTTGTGTGGACTTTGAGGTCCTGTTTGTATTTGCCAAGACCTAAAACAGTGGCCAAAGCTTAAGTCCCTCACCTGCTGGCTTGTTTTAATTTAATTAAATGCAAAGCTGTAGGAGGGTTCTGTCCATCTAGTCAGCGGGCTCTAGCTTTGGTAGAAAGGAGAGGTGGTAAACTTAGTTGAATTTACATGCATAGATGGAACACAGCACTATAGAATTGTTTTGATTAGAAAAGAAAATCAAGTCCAACTGTAACCTAATTCTAGCAAGTCCAGTACTTAAACTGTGTTCCTTAGCACCATACCTAAATGGCTTTTAAACTCCTCCAGGGATGGTATTCAACTGCCTCCCTGGCAGCCTATTCCAGTGTTTGATAACCATTTTGGTGAACACATTTCTAATGTCTAAACCTCCCTGGCACCACTTGAGTCCATTTCCTCTTGTCCTGTTGCTTGTTACTGGGGTGATGAGACCAACACCTGCCTTGCTACAACCTCCTTTCAGGTAGCTGTAGAGGGCAATAAGGTCTCCCCTCACCCTCATTTGTTCCAGGCTGAACAACCCAGTTTCCTCAGATGCTCCTCTTAAGGCTTGTATTCTTGATCCTTCACAATAATTTGTATTTTACGGGGTGCTCTGAAAAGCATGGTAAGAACTTGACTTTTTGACACCAGTCAGATTAAAAGGGGACAAAAGAGTGGACAAGCAACAGACTGGCAGTATAACTAGCTGGGGCTGACTGACCTTTGTGTATTATTGATTACTAACTTTAACCTAAGTCATCTTCCCTCTACTTAAGTCTTCTCACTAAAAGCACTTGGAGAGATGTAGGGAGAGGAGAGCTGGCTGGCTTTGATGCAATTTCTGTGGTCTTCAGTGTTGGTCAAAACATACTGGCTTTTCATTGGCTCCCAGCTGGCTGTGCTGCCACATGGTGCCCCTTGAACATACCTACATGACCTGCTGTCCCACCTCTGTTCTGTGAGCAGCTGCGCTTCTTTACAAACAAGTTATCTGTGGTCTTTGGAGTGTGCCTCTCTCCTTTTTTAACCTGCCTTCAACTTACTCCGAAGGAGAACTACAACTGTGACTTTGGGTCCGGGTTTTGTACTTCACAGGAAGAAAACTCTCGCTGCTCTCTCAGCAGCCAGGCTCCTGCAGGACGGCTTTCCCCTTCCCACGGGAGGAGCAGAGGGGTTTGGGACGGCTTTCCCCTTCCCACGGGAGGAGCACGGGGTTTTAGGACAGCTTTCCCCTTCCCAGCGGAGGAGCAGGGGGTTTGTCGGGAGGTGGAGCAGCCCCCGCCCCCTCCCGCCCCGCGATGCGCTGCTCCCGCGGCCTGTCCCGGCTCTTCGGGCTTTCGTGTAACCTGATAGTTCCGCGATTTATTTGTTTCCTACTCGGCTTTACGGCGATACCGCGCGGTGTCGAAACGGTTACATAACAGGCTTAGTAACTTTATATAACTGTTTTGATGGAAATGTTTAGGTATCCGCGGCTCCCCCTCTGCCCGCCCTACTCTCCCCTCTCCCGCACTCCCAGCCGGACAGGACACCCCTCCTCTGACCGCTGCCCCCGCCGCTCCCGCCCCCGGGCCTTACGAACCGCGATAAACAAACCCGCGTCAGCACCACGCGCTGCGGACACCCCCTTGGCGCCCCCGATCCCGGCGGCGCCGCTGCCCCCTGCGCGGTGCTGTCCCTACGCGGTGCTGCCCCCTGCG